AGCCTATGATTTTTAATTGAAGAGTTGAGACCATTTACATTTAATGTTGTTATAGAGAGAAGTTTATTAATTCCTGTTATTTTGATTTATTTCTAATGTTTAATTTTGAACTGTTTCTCATTCACTTAGGTACTCAAATGAGATTTGATCATTTGTGAACTTTGGGGCTTGTTTTTATTTCTTCTGTGTGGAGTATTTCTTCTAATAAATTCAGTAGTGCCAGTTTAGTAGTGAAGAAGTCTTTGAGTTTCTGCTTATCTTGGAATGTTTTATTTTTTTCTTAGATTTTTGAAGAAGGCTTTGCTGGATATATAAATCTTGATTAATAGTTATTTTCTTTCGAGACTTGGAGTACATCCTTCCAAGTTCTCTAGAGTTTAGAGTGTCTTGAGAAATTGGAATTTATTCTCTTCAGACATTTAAAATTATATCCTTGATTTCTGTGTTAGCATTTTAATTATATCATGTTGTGGAGAAATTCTTTTTTTGATCTTGTCTCCTCTATTTGAATGTCTATTTCATTCTCAAGGTTTAGAAGTTTTTCTGTTATTATTTTTCTAAAAAGATAAGCCATCCCATTAGCCTGCATCTCACAATCCTCTTCAATTCCAGTGATTCTTAAATTTGGACCTTTGTTGTTGTTTTAGTTCTTGTATATTCTGGTCATAGTCACTTATTTTCTTTTCTTTGATACTCTCTGAATGTTCAAGGCAGCCACTTCTCTTCCAGTCCTGAGTTTCTCTCTTCAGCAAGGTCTACTTTACTAGAATAACTTTCAACTGAACATTTCATTTGATTTATTGTGTTTTTCACTTCCAAGATTTCTGTTTGGGTCTTTTCAATATCTCCATCTCTTTATTGAATTTCTCATTCATATTCTATGCTGACTTTATCTTAATTCATTTATTTTCTTCATCCTCTTGGAATTCATGGATCCTTTTTATGACCACTCTTTTGAATTCTTTATCTGGTATTTCATCTACTTTGATATCTTTGGGGTCTGTTGCTGGTGAATTATAAACTTTAGGAGTCATTGTGTTACCTTATTTTCTCACATTTCTTGTATTCCTGAGCTGGGTTTTATACACCTGTTGAGATGGATTTCTCTTCTACTCTTATGTGTGGACTATTTTATGGAACAGCCTCCTCTTGCCAAAGTGTCCTAGAGTAATCTAGATTAAGACATCCCTCCATAGGTGTGATATCCACAGTCTTTGTGCTAATTTTCTCTGTTTTTGCTGTAGGAATGGATGTCTGTGAGTGGGCACTGAGGGCCAACTCCTAGCCATTCCTATTGGGAGCCTGGCCATTAATTGGGGGTTTTGTGTCTTATATTCTTTGTATTAAAGCATAGATGAAGTTTGAGTGTTATTAATCTGTGTGTGGAACAACATGTGTTTTCTTTTAGCTGAGTTTAGTTCAGCAGCAGAATCTCTACCCTGTGAACCTATAGTGTCCCTGTAGTTCCCAATACCTCACAGAAAAGGGAGATGCAAATAGTAGCAACAACCAATGTAAACAACATACAGCATTGAAATAAATAGTTGATGCCTACTATGACATCAACGACACTAATTATCACAAAAATAGGAAAGATGGGGTCAGCGATAGCCAAAACCAATAAACCACTGTGAACTAGATCAGGCATTAAGTAAACTGCAGGTGTCAACTATGTCATCCACAGCAGTAATAATCGCAACAACATGAATCATGGGGGCAGGAGATACATAAACCAAACAAATCTAAAAGATGGTAAAAATAGAGTACATTAAGAGAAAAGAAAATGTTATAGGAAGGTAGAAGGGAGTTCAGAATGTTTAAAATGTGAACAGAGAACACAGAACAGTAATGGTTTTAAAGAGGATAAAAATAGGAAAAAAGCAATAGAAGAGAGAACAAGAGAATTTGGCTATTAGTGGAGGAAAAAAAGAGAGAAAGAGAAAAAAACAAAAGAAAACAAACAAACCAAAAACCCTAAAAGAAAAGATTCCTAACAAAACAATGAAAGAATCATCTCAACTGTGTGTACAAAACAATCCACAAGAATAGATGGTCACTTCCTATGCCCAACTGTCCTTTCCATTCTTCTTGGGCTATGTACTGATCGAGGAGGGATAAAGGGATGAGCATAGTCTACAGGTTGTTAATGCCTTCATCTTTTTATTTTGCTCATTGAGCTGCATATTGGAGTGGGCTAAAACTGAAGCTGGTTGAAACAGCTCTCCACTTCCTTTCTCACCATAGAAGGTAGGAGGGAATGGGGAGTACTATTGATTGGAATTTTGCCTGGATAGACCAAATTGACGCAATCTCAGGGTGGGGCTGCGGCAGAGTTCTAAAAGGAAAATTCCAGTGGCTGTGGCTTAGGTCCAGTCAGGCCTTAGGGACTTTGTTGGGTGATATCTGCTCTGGAAAATTCGATCAACACGCTCCTAGGGCCTAGCAAATGCTGATCCCTGCTGTGAGTCTGAATCTCAGGAGACTCTCAAGAATTCGACTTGGGGGACAGGGAAGCCGATCCTCCACACATCTGCTGCCTGGGAACACAGCCTTCCCAAACTAAGTCCCTGAGTGTTTTCACACCTACCTGTTCAGATTCTTGACCTCCTTCAGCTGGTCACAGGGAAAGCAATCTGAATGCCCCTACATTTTTCTTGAATCCCCTTGAGTACAAACTTCTTTGTGCATGTTACACTCACATTCAGCTAAGCACACCCTAGGTCACATGTTAGGCCCTTGCCAGGACAGTATGGCAACTCGCAGTACGACCTCCCAGTCCTGCAGCAGCAACTGCAGCATGGCCACCTCATGATGGCTCCCACCTCAGCCCTCAGCTTGCCAGTTGAGAGGTACAGAGTCCTAGTTTGCTGGGCAGCCTCTGGATCATCTGAGTTCAACTGCTTTTCTAATCTACAGGGTTTTTCCATGCCAAATCTCCCCATTTTGTTTCTCTCTCTTTTTATCCCTCCCCTCTGCAGTGAACCAGCTGAGCTCTAAGATATTCTTTCTTGTTGTTTGTTTAATGCACCCAAATTCCTGAGTCTCTAAGACACTCTGAACTCTCCCTTTCCCCCGCCTTGCTGAGAAGTATTCATCCTGAGTCCTGAGCCGCAGAGCCACTGGATGCAGCCTTCCCCTAATTCGCCATCTTGAACCCCCCCTTGCCTCATTTTGTTTGTTCATTTCATTCATCCATTGAGCTAATGTGTGTCCCCTTCTTCATCAGACAGAACTAACCGAGGCAAGGAGGCCCCTGGGAGTTCCTTATAAAAGTATGAGGGAGAGTAAATGAAGAGTTGGGGAAGCCATAGCCACAGGCTTGTAGGCTTTTGGATATTGGCAAAAACTGTTACTTACAAATACCCCTCCTGCATATATAGTTTCCAAAGAAATTGTCAAACCGTTTCATAAGGATGTGTGTGTGACTAGCAAAGGCATTCATATATATAATTTTTTTTTTCTTTTTTCCTTCAAGTTGTGGTTTGGGGAGCCTGGGAGTTGGGGGCAACCTGGGAGTTCATGATGGGGCTGCAATGATAAATAGGACGTGTGTGAGCAGTTAGTGGGTAAAGACTGGATGGAGGAAAGTAGGCAGATCCTGGGCTTCTGGATTCAGGAGTGATTGCAATGCCTTTAACCAAAATCATGGTTCAGGAGGAGGGGCACGGCGAGGAAGACAGCATGCTCATTGTTGACATGTGGGTATAAGTACCTACTGCATTCGTGTGAACTGCCCAGAGACAGTAGCAGTGGTTAAGATCATGGTCTCTGGTGTCAACTGTCTGGTCTTGAATCTCAGTCCCACCACTTAGTAGCTGCGGGCCTTTGGGCAACTTTACCTCTCAGAGTCAAGTTCTCATATGCAAATTAGGAATAATAATTTCTACCCCAAAGAGTTGTTGGGGGGATAGAATTAAATAATGCTTATAAATGGCTAATCTGATCCTTCCATAGAGTGAATATTCAGTAAGTGGTATGTTATGATTAACACAAGTGGTGACAATAAACATGACACAAGAATGGAAGATACTTGGCAGAAAAGTGGTTTTAGATTTCATCAGTGCACGTCCTATGGTTTAGGCCTAATACTTGATGACATTGGTAAGTGTTCAGAGCAGAGGTGACAACTCAGATGCCTCAAGCCACGCAACAAGTGGAGTGAGTAGATATGAGCACATTTATACATCGTGTGAATGGTGGGGACCCTGGAAATTGGAAACGCTGAATATCCCTGAAGATGGGAGCTTTAGATGGTTACTCTCGTGCCAAAATTGGGGCCTGTTTTGTTTTGGGTTTTGCTCTCCAAAGAAGCCAAAAATTTCTCAATGTTTAAATGTTGGCAACTAAATTCAGCTTAACAAATAAAAGGCATACAGGGTCAAACTGTGGCTTATTTGTTGCCAGACTATGATCACTGATGTAGAGAAGGAGGACTGAGAGTTCTGAGGAACTCTAGCACCAAAGGGGTGAACAGAGAAAAAGGAAGGGCAATGAAGACCAGGAAAGGCAGAGGACAGAGAGGAAGGGGAGGAAGTGAGGTCAATGGAGCCGAGGCAGAGGGGAGCTTCAGGGGGTCACCAACACCATCCAAGGCAGCACAGGGGTCAGCATGGCCAGACTGTGCCCCACGGCCCACTCAGCTTGACCTCTTCCTGAGACAGCAGCTATACCTACTACTAGGAAGAGGGGACATGATGCTCAAAGCCATGACCCCACGGTTAGAAATGAGGTGAGAGGTCCTGAGGGAAGGGGACTGTGCATGGGGGAACTCTTCCTCATCACTCTCTTGGGCTGTGACTCTGGGGACTTCCGGAGATCATCTTTTCAAAAGCAAAAATGGACTTCACCAGCTCAACCATCCCCTGGACATACTTCTGACGGGTAAAATTGGAGGCAGATAGGAAACCAGAAAACTCGTCTCATCCTCCCCGCACCAGGAGACTAGTTAACCAGAACTTGGAGAAGAGAAGGAAAAATAATTACTCCAACACTCTAACCAGTACTGGATTCTGAGATCCTTTATTTGTTTTTATGTAAATATCAATACTTTTATTATCTGTATTATTAATATCAATATTTATATTCTTTGAGAACCAAGAATGCACAAATACAAAGTTATGACTGAATAGGGGACCTGCCCAGTGTGCTCAAGAAGAAAGTATTGCCTTCCCTAGGGTTAGAATATCATCAGCATTCTCTAGATAGAAAGTCACTAGCTAGACAACAACTGGGATTACCAAGAAGGCAAAAGGAAGATGTTTGGTTTGGCCAGGGCGGGGCGGAGTGGGAGCAGAAATATACTCCATACAGTAAAAGAGAAAGTTACGACTCTTGAATACAGCAACTATATAACGAGCACATTTAATATATGCATTCTCAGCTACATGAGCATAACATTCTAAACTGTTAGACATTACCTTTCCTGTCACTTAACAAGAGGAAAGCAGGATGCAGAAATGAGGAACTATTTGTCCAAGGTCACTTAGCTAGTTAGTAACTAAGTCAAATTTAGAAGTCCTGCCTCCTAACTTGTCACTTAATTCTCTTTCCACAGATCTCTTCCACATTGTGAGTTCAGGGTTAATTATCTCTTTGAAGGATATGACTCGGAGGGCCTGGCACACAGAACAGATTTCGATGGGTGGCAGTTGGGGGTGAAGCTGGTGCCCAGCAGCCGTATCCCTGTGTGGCTGAAGGAGGCCAGCATGGAAAGAGCCAAGCAGGGGTCCCCACAGGGAGAGGCCCTGGTGTCCAGGACAACCAGCCACAGGACAACAGTGCTCGGCCTGGCCTAGGCACCGCACATTTCTGAGAAACACAGACAAAAATTCCAAACTTTAAAAAGTGGACATATATTGTTTTAAATACTACCTGTAGTCCTAAACATTGCTTTTTAAAATATCACTTAATTTTGCATAATATAGTCAATGACAAAAAGTAAAATATACACAAAACACACACACATAAATCTTCTGAGTAGGCAAATACAGCACAGAATACCTTGCTCAGAATAATTCATGTACCAATTAACCCAGTTCCTGGGCTAGAGTGGACCTTCCCTAAGTGTTTAGCCATGACCGTGACTCCATGAGTACCTTGGTGACCACTCAGAACTTGATTATTCTTACCTTACACACAAGTTGTATAGAATTTTTATTTAGCTTCTTTCTTAATAGCTTGAAGTAGAGGGATGGGAATATAGTTGGAGATAAGCACTTATGAAGAAATAGAAAAGCATCAGACAGGAAAAAGCCCAAATGGAACTGAGACCACTTAGTGTCAGGATGACAGCCTTTTGCCTTCCTAGAGGTCCTAGAGGTAACCACGTACTTCACACAGTACAGTTCCTGCAATGACACAGAATCATCCAGAAAGACTTTAGGGTACACTGTATCCCCTATTTAAAACAGCAGGGAAACATTCACTACATTTTTAAAAATTGCTGAAAATTACATTAATAAAAATTTTGGCACAGAGAACTTGTAAATAATCTAGAAATTTGACATAAAAATCACAATGCCATATTCATGGTTCATTATTTCAACGGGGATATGAAGATTTGGTAATGACCAATTATAGGTCCTTCTGGTTTCATTGTGAGATCATATATAGCACTTAGTACTTCTGGACAGAGATGGTTGTTTTTCATAAGGTATAATTGCTTCTTAGTGCTGTTTGACATAAACTGCATTTGATTGTAGCATTACTTCATTTTTTGGGGGGGTGTGGGGGAGACCTAACAATGTGGCTTCTGTGTACACAGCGTGGTGCTGAGGAGGGATCTCAGCATGGCAGGAAGGTAAGGGTGCACTGCTTTGCTTGTCTATGGCAAAGAGAGGGGTTTCTTCCCCAGACCGTCCCAATCCTTACTGACTTTTACCCTGAGGTCCAGTTTATTGCTCTCCTATGAGATAAAGATAACTCTCACCTTATTACACACTCCCTCCAGGGAAAAATCTCTCTTGGTTTCTCTTAACCATTGATCAGATTTTTCACAGCATAATATTCCCAAGATGGATCTTGGGAAGGGAGATTTCTATTACATATGTTTGGAAGCTGGAAAAGCTAAGTGGTAATGAAAAAAGTCCCAGAGTACATGGTATTTCTTAGACAGTTGTCTTCAAGTCCCTCTTGAACTCCTCCAAGGAAGAGGGATGTAAGTAGTATGCAAACGGCTATCAGTTGAAAGCTGGAGAGTTCATTTTTATTCCCAGGGATTGGTGAACACCACTTTTTGCAGATCATAACCCTCTCTTGGCTCCTCTTCATTTTGACAATGCCATACACATCTCAAATTTCCAGCAAATTGTAGCCAAGTGCTTTTTTCAGTGACTAAAGTTTATTTAAACAGTTGCCTGACCGATCTGTCTGTAAGAAACATTTGGTTTTTCATTTTCACAAAAGTTCCTAGTGGGCTGAAGGCAATCGTGGGGGATGAGTTGGGTGATTTGAAGATGCGGGATAAATAAGGTGAGTGGGGTACACACAGTACATTTTAAATATCCCTGAGTGAGCGGGTAGGGCAGGATCCGCTTCTGCTCACATCCCGTGTGGCCGAGCATGAAGAACTCCACTCACAAGGAAGAATCAGTGTCCTGCCACCCCGGCTTGGTGCTCGTGCTGGTGCCTGGCTTGGGGTGTGGCCATCAGATCCTCAGGGGGCACAGAACCCACCAGGATTTTGGTGGATGAGAATCAATTCCCCACCGTTCACTGGGAGGCAGGAGGTATTGTGAGCACTCAGGTCCAGGTACACTTTGTCTTTGAAAGCCAGAGAGACCACCGTGATGAAGTTGACCTTCTTGTTGGTGCTCTGGATGGAGATTGGATTGTGACCCTTCCGAAAGTAAAGGCTGACGTTGACCTCCTGGGAGAAGTAGCCCTTCAGGGAGATGAGATAAAACCCATCACAGTTGATGATGATTGAGCTGTTTTCCACCTTCATGGTCTCAGCCTTTTCTGGTACAATGCGGAAAAATTTCTTCTCACACCCTGAAAAGGGCAGGGCTAGAATAAAAAATAGAGATACTGAAGCACTACATTAGGCAACAACCTCCCAATACAACTAAAATCAAGTGAAGGAAGACAGATGTTTTTAAAGAGTGGAAGCCAGCACGGAGTTTCTACCCATGGGTTGGAATCCCCTTCCCCTGTGGAATGCAAGTAGAGGCAGAGCTAACCCCAGTTGCAGAGAAGTCTCCGATGGGGCTGGGATTCCTGAGTTGAGGATTATAGAAATTGTCGTGGCTGACCTACTGCAGAAAAGGTGGCTTTGAGGTTTCCCAGATTTTTCAAAACTGCATGGAGTTGGCAGCTTCAGTCCTTCCTTGCTTGCTCAGGGGGCAGACTAGAGCACAGAGTGGCAGCGGTGCCCCTTGCCCTGGTCCTGCACACCTCTTCCTAGCTTCACTCAAAGCCATTGCTTTAATAGTTCCCTAGCCTCTCCCCACTGCCTGTGGGCATCAGACTCGCTGACGGCTTTTACCCCGTGAGGCTAGTCTGCAGCTAAGCACAGGAAGCCAGTGCAGGTTGAAGAGCTCCAGGACTCCGACTTGCTTCTCCCTTCCCCCTCCTATTGCTAATTCTTCCTGGAAGGTGACTTGGGAAGAGTTGTTGCCATACAAGAAAGAAAAGGAGGATAAGGAGGAGGAATAGGAGCAGGAGAAGCTTTGGTAGTTTGTGTATGGGGCAATTCTAAGTGGAAACTAAAAAGCCTAAATTTGTTTTATTCCCCGTCAGCCCAACAGCATGATGAATGGCCAGGCAACTACATCGTGGACACCTATTCTGGAGGATGTTCTTTAGTGATGGGGAAAACATGTCTCCACTGCTGGCCACAATTTGGTAATTCTTGCCTTATATCAGTCCCAAGGGGCATACTTTGAATTGAAATAAACACCACTTATAGAGAGCAAAAGGTACTTCCCTTCAGCCTCAGAGAACTTAACAAGCGAATGAATTAATATAGAAACCAGTGGGGGTTGACAGTAATCATGGTGCTCTCCTGATAGTCAAAATAGCACCTTTTCTTCATATCAGGGCCTTCCCCAACTCTCATTAAGGTAAAATCTTGTCCCAGAATAGAGCCAGCAAGTGATGTGTCCTAAGGTCAGACAGACTTGTGAAAGGTAAAGCCTTTGTCTCCTTAGCTGAAGCATGAGAATTATTCACCCTCAAGGGTCCCTGGAGGATAAAGTGAGGCCGGTGAAGTACAGAGACAAGCATGGATGTGGTGGTCAACCACTCCCCCCTGCTTCTTATGCACCTCTGTGTCCCTAATGAAAATCATATTCAGGTCCCAACAATCCTGGGATGTCACACTTCCCCCAAGGAAAAGGATAGATCTTGTGAGGAAATTAAGAGGCTAAAGAGAAGATCCTTTCAAAAATATGGATCAGTTAAACTTTTGACAATACTTACCATTAAATTGTATTCTAATACTTTGAATTGAAGGATACTGCACCTAAGGGATGAAAAAGGATATATTTTAGGGGGATGAAAAAGGCATCAGAGCCAACGAAACAGAAACCCAGGAGCCTGTGGAGGGAAAGGCTTAACAAAGACTCGGTTTCTTCTGTGAGGGTTAGAGTCGGATTTTCTGCCTGTCTCTTGCGTTTCTATAGCGTTTCTTAAGACGAGTCAGGATTACTCTGCTCTTTCATGCCAGCATTTGAGGTCTGTTCTCCTTTCTGCCAAGCTCCTCTTTGGTGCACTGTTTTGGCTCACTGGGGCCCCAACTTCCCCTTTTAGATAACAGTACACTTACTAGTTCTCTTGTGGAGAAACCCATTCATAGAGAGTCCCTCATGGAGAAGTCTGTGACCAATCAGTCCATCATGACCACAGGTTCCCAGAACCTGCTGGGAGCAAGTCCTGGAAACTTCTTGTGTGCTTTTCTTCCACTATAACACAGGAATCAGCACATCAGGTTTGCAGGGGACACAGGCAATAAAATCTATTTTAATCCTTTAGAGTTCAATAGAATTAAATATAGCTTTTATTTTTTTAAACATTGCATCTTTTCCTTTTCTTCAACAGAATGAAAAACCTAATGTGAACCATATCCACCCTCAGTAGCAAGAAAACAAGTGGAACCATGGGAAGAGGAAGCTTGGTAGATGGAGTGAACGTCCGCAGTCATTTGGTGGTTAAAAAAGAAAAGCTCAATAGGGAGCAAATCAAAAGTCTGTTAAGTGAAACTGTCAAAGGACAGAATCATACAGGAAGTATAGTGCCATGTGCGACGGAAAAGGAATACCACTTCTATGGGCATTGAAGGTGTCTGGAAAAATGTAGGAGAAACTGGTGGCCAATGTTCCCTCTGGAGAGGGAGCTGGAGGCCTGAGGCCAGGGGTAGTAGGGACCCTTGCTCTTCCTGGTCTACTTTATTCTCCTTCCTAAATTTCGTACCGTATGGTTGTATTTCCTACTAGAAGAGGAAAAAGAAGGCCTGTTGTCCTGCCAAGACAGCAGCAGCTCTTCCCACAAGGTTGTTTCTGGCAGAGTGCCCTGATGGAAGGTGTGGGAGACATTTGCTCTCATGCCCTGGGCAGTGGAATCCCTGCTTCCCACTCTCCTGGCAGACGACAGCCCAGTTGAGAGGACTCCAGTGGGGACTCCCCGCACAGATGAGGAACTTCCCTGTAAGTACCATCACAAGCCTCCCCCAGCTGAGACCAACAGGCACTGGGGAGGAGGGGCTGGGCCCCGGCACCAGTTTTCGTTCAATACTAAGCTGTGGAGAGAGGGGCTGACCTGGTGGAAGTGGGAGTCTTTGGCTCCCTGCCCTCTGTGTGCTGTTGTGACTCCCTTGTGCCCACACAGTGCTCCCTGGGTAAATAAACGTCCCTGCTGCTCTCTGCCTAGTGTGTGCCAGCTGCATGGCCATGTGACACAAGGAGCATGAGGCTCAGCGGGCAGCACCTGGGTTCAGAGCAGGTCCTGGGTCATTCTAGGCTAGTTTTATAAGGCTTATAGGTGTCAGTTTGTCATCTTTAAAGATCACTAGAAGATTGTGGGCACCACTCAGTTCCCATGATTTTAAGAGTTGCAATTCTATGTCAATTTTAATTTTAAAAAACATAAAACTTCCTCATTCACAAATTTACTCCAAGCTGTCTGATCTCAAAGCCCTTGTGATTTTTTTTTTAATGGACATTGCAAAAGTCTCCCTAAAGGTTCTTGAAAACCAAAGAAATTTCCCGGCTTTTGAAGTGCCCTGATGTTATGCGGTGCTAGTGACCAAGAGGGCATCCTCGGGGACTGAGAAGCTGCAGAGGCCGCAAGGGAAGCTCATGTGACTGCCCCCCTTGGGTTGATCTACTGGAACTCCCTCTCCTGAGAAGGTCACCAAGGGGTAGCCATTTGCATATTCTCAGAAGTCTCTAACAAGCATCAAAACCAACAGTTCAGACAAGTTGTAAGGTAGAAAAAGGAGCCCCCCCCCTTCCTCCCTGCACATCCTCCATCTCTCTCTGTGACCTGCACACACTGGTGGTCCCACTACCCATAGTCACCACACACTGCCCAAGTCAGCACCCTCTGCAGCCTGGCTCCAGTCTCCTTGTCTTATGAGCTTTCTGTGTCTTATGATCAAGCCACTGAGTCACTCTGATCTCCTTGCCCTTGGATAGAGAGCCCAGTGGAGTAGGACAAAGAGTGTATGCAGTAGAGTCAAATTCACTTCAATTATGACTTCTCTAGCTTTGAAATTTGGAAAAGATATACACCATTTCTTAGCATTGGCTTTCACGTATGGGAAAAGAAGTCATAATGCCATTACGGGAATGTTCTAGGAGATCACTGTTAGGTTTAAATAGAATAACTTATATCCAGCAGATTGCCTGGCTCATGATAAACATTGAAAAAAATAATTACTATCTTGTTCTCTCTTCCAAAACAATCCTTTCACCTATCTCTGCTCATCAAAATCTAACACCTGCAGACCTACATCAAATCCTTGTTTTTTGGTATCTGTACTCCCATACCAAGTATTTAAAATCACCTTATTCATACAGATGTTTATAGAAGCTTTGTTCATAACTGTCAAAACTTGGATATAGCCAGATGTCCTTCAGTAAGTGAATGGATAGGGCTGACGTTGTAGCTCAGTGGTAGAGTGCTTGCCTAGTATCCATGAGGCACTGGGTTGGATCCTCAGCACCACATAAAAATAAATAAACAAAATAAAGCCATTGTGTCCATCTACAGCTTTAAAAAAAATTTTTTAAAAATAAGTGAATGGATAAACTGGAACAGTCAGAGAAAGAAATGTTATTTTCAGCACTAGAAAGAAATGAGCTTTCAGGCCATGAAAGACATGGAGGAATCTTAAATCTGTATCACTGTGTGAAAGAAGCCAATCTGAGAAGGCTGTATACTATATGATTCCAAGGATGTGCCATTCTGGGAAACACAAAATTATGGAAACTAAAAGATCCCTGGATAATGATGGGTATATGTCATATACCCAAACTCCCAGAATATGCACAACCCCAAGAGTGGACCCTAATGTTAAAGAAAATCACTCTGTTGACTTCTAGTATCCCTACCCAGTATAAGTTTCATCTCTCCTTCTGAACATATTTAGCTGTGTGACCTGGAAAACTGCATTTACCTTGCCGATATTTACTTTCTTCATCTGTAAATAGAAACAGTAAAGATCCACTGTCTCAGAAGATTGTCATGAAGATTAAATGAGCTTCAAATATGTGAATGCCCAGCACCTGGCATGGAATATTGTAAGGAGTTAAGAAATGTCACCTGTTATTTCAGAATATCCAGAAGCGTTCCTCAACCAATCCCAGCTTTTTCTGTATAGTTGAGGTTAGCAAAATCATAACTTGGGCTCTGATTAGGCATTACTGTCCTGGCAAGGGGCAGCAAGCTCATGAAAAGTGTAAAGGACTGTAAGCTGGTGAGAGGAGAGTCACAAGTAGACCCTTCCTGGCTCTTCATCCTGTGAGTGCTGGGCTGTCCGAGAAGCTATGTGAAGAGTCTGGTGTCGGTATTTATCTAGCAGCCTCTACTCTATTCACAAGAAAGTGATAATTTGTTTAAAGAGCTCATCTTTGAGAGTGTGAGCCTCCGAGTGTGACTCACTAGGATGTGGCTTGGGGCTGTCGATCTTATACTCATTTGTCATTTGTCTGGTAGAGGGATGCCATCAAATATGAAACCAGGAAGTGGGCTCTGCTTCACCCTGTTACCAGGCCACCAAGTCAATATCCTGGGGGAGAGGGGTTGAGGTGTGAGTCAGCAGAGGACAGTGGAGGAAACAGCGGCTCCTCACCCTACCCCACCACCTCCCCTGGGATGGACCAGTTCCTACCCACTCCTTGGGCTTTGTGTTTAATCAGAGGAGACCTAAGAGGTCCTAAAAACACTACCCCACAGGCTTGCAGATATGTCTCCAGGTCCCTCCACAGAGGAAAGTGGAACTTTCCACTCTCACCAGGATGAGAGCATAGACTCCCATCCTGGTGGATGTAGTGGACACTCCACGAAACAGCCTGTAACAAAGGACGGGTCCCACTTTGGATGGAGGAAGTTCAGAACCCCACCCAGAGAAAGGAATAGAAGTTCTTTGATCAAGGAGTCTTCCATATTCAAGTAAAACTATCCCCAAAGTTACACTTTTAGAGACAAAGATATGTGGATTTGAAAACCTTGCTGAACCAACAGTTTACTGGGATGTAATAAGCCCAGAGCAAAGCCATGTTAATGGCCATCCAAAGCCACCTGTCCATGCCTACCCCTGACCATCACTGCCGGCACCTTTCCCTGCAGCTTCACCTTTAACCTCCACCTTTGTCCCCCACACACACACACAGACAGGTTGGGTGACATACTCATAACCTGCTCCCACCATTTCCCTCTTTCTGTCAAGTCTGAGTAATAGCTACATGTGTCTCCCCTCAGAGACACATTCCTCCTCTCTCAGGGAACATGAACCATGGTTTCATTATCCCTGATACTTGGCAAATGATAGTTCCCAAGAGTGAGAACAGATATTCTGATAAATATCAAAATCATTCAAAGACATCCTTGGAACATAAATCTCTGCAAAATTATGTGATTGACCTAATACATTACCTCTTTATGTCCCCCAAGGGGAGATTTCCTTATACCTGAGTTTCCCACTCCACCTTGGCCAGGGAAGCCCTGAAGTTCACCAAAACATTCCTGAGCCTCCCTTCCTCACCTCATGGATCAAGGCTCACACCAGCTTAGTGTCTAGGAAATGAAGGGCAGGTTTCCAGTGTGCCCACTGTATTAGCACACCCCCTACCACACTTCAGAAGTGATGACACTTGGTAATAAGCATCTGCTGACCACAGGGGAATTTAGCCAGGGACTGCAGGATCACATAATATCTGGCAGGGTTTTTGAAACTGTCCTATTTATCTTCAAGTACAAGGGGGGAGCAGAGTTATTATAGTCAATACCTTTCTACTTGAGATC